CACTCAGTAATCGAATTCCACAAACCAACACGACTTTAGAAAACAACTTCTTTCCGTCTTTATTCAGCGAAATGGTTTTGGAAGCTGGTTCAAATCCGATAGAGACCATAAAACACCCCGGCGAGTTTGACACAATGTTGAAAACGGTTCTGTATCCCAAAAACTACGATTCAGTTTCGGGATGGATTCCCGATGTCGGTGACGGAGAAGTTTTAAAAGAACCGGTCAGGACTGTAGCAAATGACGCAGACCTTGCTAGGATAAGGGTAGTTGCTAGAAACACACTGGAAAGAGTGACTTGCGGAGTAAATCACGGATTTGAAAAACGAGCGCTTCAATACAACAATGTTGTCGAGAACAACAGATGGGGTAATTACGTAAATTGGAAGTTGTATCCTTTATTTGGTCTCTTGGAACACAGAAAGGTTTCCATAGGTTTACCGTATAAAATTCATTTGCAAAGAGAAATCAACGACAACAAGATATTCTTTGGTGAAAACAACTCTGACGCAAAATTGGAAATAACGAATATCCAACTTTACATACCGGTAATCACTCCTTCCGTAGAAGTGGAAACGAGAATATTCAACTCTTTAACCAAAGACATCGAAATTGCTTTTCTTCATCGTAACACGGTAGGTAGCATGACTTTAACGGGAGAATCCACCACGTGGCCAATCACCAACACCGTCAAACCAGCGAGATATCTAATGGTCGGTTTCAAAAACTTGCCAGACTCTCAGACAAACAACAACAACATTTTCAGAGTGGCATTGAACTATACTCAAGATGCCATCATTCGCAAAGTTCAAGTCAGATTGAACAACGATAATTATCCCAATCAACCTTTGACAATTGATCCTTCCAAAAAAGATTACAACGAATTGTACAGAAACTATAAAAACATGTGCGAATTGTTTGGAAATACGCCTCAGTTTGAATACACAGATTTTTCACTCAATCATCTAATCTTTTGTTTCGATCTGTCAGCTCATCAAGAAGATCTTTTCAAAACAGGGGTAAACATAAATATTCACATCGATAAAACACAAGGAGATGTGACCGGCTACTGTTTATTGCTGGAAGAAGCAAAACATTTGATTAAAATATCAGATAGAAGAATGATAAGAATTGAATAAAAAAACACCCTTTAAAAATGAAACCAGAAACTTTAGTTATGAAAATAATAGAAGCTATGGAAACGAATTCGCCGACTCTAATAACTTACAGCGGTAAAAAAGTGCATATAACCCAAAAGATTATCGATAAATACATACATTGCAAAGTCAGAGACGATATAGACTTGGAAAGAATTGATGAGAATTTAACTAAAAAAGGTGGATTTTTACCTTTCTTACCTTTAATCTTTGCTGGTTTAGCTGCAGCTGGTGCAACTGCTGGTGGAGCTGCTGGGATAGCCAAAGCTGTCAACGATAAGAAAGCTGAAGCCGCTGCAAACGCCGAAGCGCGTAGACACAATTTGGCAATGGAAAGAGAAGCACGAGGAGGTTCGGGAGTAGGAGATATATTAGGGACGGTTAAAGAATTCGGACAAAGATTTGGCGAAGAAACCAAGAAAACCGTTAAAGAGGGATTAAGCAAATTAATAGATAAAATCGACACCGGAGAAATGAAGGTCAAACACAAGGCAACGCCATATTTTTAAAAAACATACGTTCGGGCGAGGGATCTTCCTTTCAAAGTATGAA